GCTTTATCACACTGCCACTTAAACCATCTTCAGAGTCTTATTCCTTTTCATCTTGGTGGTTTTTATTTATGTTTACTTCACCCATAAATTATTTTGTGTGAGGCAAAGGGACAGGTGCCTGAACATCAGCCTACAGAAACCCCGTTGAAAGTGCAGAAGAGGCAATTAAAGCTCCCAAAAGGCAATTAAAAGTATTTTAGGAGAGCAGAAAAAGCACGAGTGCCAAAACGTGTGACAGATACGGAGGTTTTTGAGAAGCGTGTCATTTGACCTGCAATTCATGCGAGAAAAAATGTCAGCAACTGTCTCTAAACTACTTCCAAAATTGATTGACAGGATAAATTTCAAAGCACTTGCTAAAAAAACATTCCGTAGGAGCTTGGTTTCATGTGGAAGAAGATGAAAAACAACAACATAAAATGTAATTCTCTGTGCCGTGGTTTCATTCCTGTGTGCTACTTATCTCCAGTTATTATGATCAAGCACTGATTTTTTGTTGTTTTTGTTTTAAAATTATTTCTAAAATTATCACCTCCTCCTACTATGAAAATATACAACAGGTCCAGTTTTCTTTGCATGCACCGTACTTCCTGCTGCTAGCAGATGTCAGGACATTATTATGCCGTTGTACAAGTGACTTGCTCCTAGCCTTCCACTTGAAAATTTCACCAGCCAAGAAGTTTTGTGGCAACTATACAAGTTGTTTATGAATTCCTATCAGATTGGAGTCACTGGCCTACAAGAATCAAATAAAACTCCTTCATGATCTATTCATTTAGCATGGCTGTAATGTTAGATGACCACTGCATATTGACTATAATAGACAGTTACCAGAAGTATGCACACTACAGTGGGCACAGAATGACTGTTTCGGCTGTGACAGCTAGAGCGGATGGGAAGACGAGGGCAGGCAGGAGCAAGGTGGCAAAGTCTCTGTGAACATGTATACTATAACTGAAAACATTTTTCCCTCTTTTAATCTTGTTACAGTTGGTGGCATTTTGATATGCTGACTTACACTACACTGTATTTTGTGAACCAAAAGAACTGTAGAACACTAGCAGTGCGTGCACATGCCTTAATTCACATGCACTACATCTTCAGCCTAAACATAATGATTTTACATCCTGTAGTGCACAAAGAAGGTATGTGTTATCTCCGTACGTGCTACTGCTTTGAGGTCTTCCCTCATCTGTATTTGTAACAGTCATCCAAGCTAGGAGTTATTGTGTCAGCTGTAGTTAATATTTTATAGTGGTTACAGTTGTGAACTGTCAGATTTGTGTTTAAGATACCTTACCTGTTGATACCCACTCATACATAAAACTCTGCTAATTTAGTACTTTCAGGCTGGCATAAAATAAGCCACTAACCGACAGTGGTAGGTCTAGAGACCACATTGATCTCATCAACATTATGATGTCCAAATTAGCAGGGTATCCGATCATATATTTTATTTCTGTGTGTACCACTCTCTTGTGATTGTAATGGAAGCCAGGACTGTTACAGCTGATCCCATTACAGTCCTTCAGTGGTGAAATTTTAAAATATTTGGTTTTGAAACTAAATTATCTGCAGCATGTTTTTCAAAACAATCAAGATAACATTTTGCAGTGAATGTATTAACATTAGAATTATTACATGCAGTATTTGATTCCAGTCTTAAGTAGTGTTTTTTTACTTGTTTCTTTTTAATGTACTCATCATATATCAAAACATAATACTATACCAAAACATATAAATAAAAATCATAAAACTGATTCAACAAGAAAAATACTAACTTGAGTTGCTATTATATCCGCAGACCCAGGCATTTATTTTTGGGATGTACAATTTTTATTACAAAAAATAATGGTATGATAATGTTGATACTGTAGGAGTTTATTAACGTATGTATTATCATTGTAGAATGTGACGTATTAGGTTCTCATAGCAGTGAAGATGTCAGTGTTGTTCGTCTGGGTTGTGACGCTGTGTAGATATGCAAATCCACAAGGCATCACAACAATAGAACAATATCAGTATCACTGTAGATCACAAGTCATGTTAGACACTAAAATTTACATTTTTATTAAATAAGATACTTCATCCAAGTTTCTGTTGCAGAATTTATCCATTCTTTTCCAAGTATATTCAATTTGAATGGTGTATTAATTGGCATGTACAATTTATGAAATTAGATAATTTGAATTTCATGTATTAAGGTACAGAAAGTAAGAAATGGATTATTTTGTTGAAATGTTCATGCTTACTTGCACTTCAAAAATATTTCCTTACAGGCGTTGTTTTCAAGAATATTTTCCATCTGACCCACCACCTGTTAAAAACCAGTGTTATCAACACATGACTCAGAGCTGTATGCAGCCCTCTGATGCGTTTTCTATGATCTGCACACTGGCTACAGTTTTGGTAATATTATTTCTCATGTATGGTGCAAGATAATTATTTGATATCATAAAATATGCTTTGTTAATGTCAGTAGTTAGTAGTCATTGTTAAGGAACTGTTCAGCTTAATTGACCTGTTTGTAATGTAAGTTGTTGTGTTGGGGTGAGACAATGCCTCTAACAGTCCCAGTGCCCATTCCCCAGGTTATACATGAGGTAATATGAAGCAGTGGTGGAATGACACTGACAAGGGAACACTAAAGAACTCTAAGAAACTAGTCCCGCTACCATTTTGTCCTCCACAAATTTCAAATGGATTGCCCTGGGTACTATCTTGGCCTCTGCAGTGAAAAGCCATCAACTAGCTGCCTGAGATGTGGCATGGCAATGCAATATAAATTAGTAACACTTCTTAATAAATTGTCATGAAATTATATACATTGTCTTATGCTTCATATGGTACAGCCTGAGAATTGGTAAGAAAGTGTTAATGTAGCCCCAGGTTGTAAAAGTTTAAAACCCCTGTTATAAATATTGGGATGTTAAAAAATTTCAAATACAGTATTTCCCTTCTGGCTAATTACAATAGTCTTCGCTTGTTTACAGTGCGAGAAGTATGATGAAAACATGAAAGTATAATTGTCACTAAGCAGAGACAAATGTTTAAAGCCTGTGGCAACTTACAGCCTACCAACCCCTGCACTGTGATGTGCGCAACCAGTGGTGATTTGCTTATTGTATATGCAGTTACAGAATAACTCACTAGTGCAGTGCTACAGTGCGAATCTGTTAAATTTGATGGATTTTGGTTCAGTGGCAGGACTGTTCTGCTATCATGTTTCAGTATGATTTAATTTAAAATTGGTATAGTGATGTTGAGCTAGATCTTGATAATGTGCTAGGTTAGAGGATAGTATGATTCTGCTAAGAAGAATATTGTGATATGTCAGTATTCAGATTGTCTGTTTAGTCAGCATTGTATAGTAGACTGGATGTTTTCAGGATGGTAAACTGTCTGTTATTCTGATTTGTGGCATGAATGGTTTTGGGTGTTTAAAATCAGTGTGTCTAGTCCAAGAACGTGTTTAAAAATTGAGAAGCTGAAAGTACTTTACATAATTATTATAAAATGTGCAAGATATCATAGAAGGAAATAATGGTTACAAGTCTTTACAAACATCTGCATAATGAATCTTTCCTATCTGAACTGTAGATAAAGCAGAGAACATTGTAGTTCTGTTATTTGGTTTACACATCATCATTTCAGTTTTATAATGCAGGCTGTTTCTCAGTCCCTGTCATCTTTTAGTTGCAGTGCCATGTAGTCTGGAAGTGATTGCCCCCGTCAGCCATACAGAACTGGGTGCCGTGCTCCAAATTGGTGAATACACGTAACACGTCTGTAGAAATGACTGAATGAATGAAGTCTCTTTGTGAATGTATTTGTGTTGTCTGGTGTGAGGCTTGTTCATACAGATGAGGGATTCTTAACCTATGGGTCATGACCCAAAACTGGGTTACCATGCTGTTTTGGCTGTCATTGTGATCCTTTCTAATAAATTGAAATTATCTACACAAGCAATTTTTAGCACATGATGCAATGGGTGAATAAAAGTATGCTGTGATGGTGCAAAGTATATGTTGACATTGAGCGAATACTGAGAGCGTCAGGAAAGGGAAGGGAGATTGGCACTTGACGGGCTAGGGGTACGGACAAGGGCAGAAATATGTACGCAGGCCTTTGGATGCATCTACTGGAGTACATTTAGTGAGTAATACATGCAAACTGAGAAGATGAATGGTGTGTTCAGAACAGCCAGAACATGGCATGCGATGCAGCTGGTATTGAGCGACTATATTTGTTTCCATATTTATTCTTGTATGTTTATGGTTCTTTTGTTTTACTTGTTATTTACCTGCTCAGCATGTACCCAACTGTTTTAAATTTTTATATTCCTACCTAATATTGAAGCTTCATAGTCAAAGCTGCAACTGCCTAGTACTACAAATGTTAAAGATGGATGTTTTCTGGGTTGTAGCATCATGTAGTCTGGTAAAGCAGTAAACTTCTACCAGACTACATGGTGCAAGAACCCAGAAGACAGCCATATTCAAACTCACCACCATGAGAACCTCAAATACTAAATACAAATGTTGATTATGTAATGGTTAATTGGTTTTTCATATATATATTAAATTACTTGCCTATTTTTATTTAGCAGCCTAAATACAATAACTCACTTCTTGGGTCATGGTTAAAAAGGTTAAGAACTACTAATACAGAACTTTCCTCGCGAGGTTAAATATGGAGACCTTCTCATCAAGAGAACTTTTGAATTTACCTGGGCTCAAACATTTTGGAGCATCACATACAGTGTGCACAGACACCAGGGACAACCACTTTCAGCATCTTGTGTGATGTGACAGGATGCAATCATAAGGACCTGCAATATTTGATTATCATCCATGCATACATACAATGGTTTTATTGCCCAAAGTCTGAGGCCTGTAATGAGAGGATCACTCTGTATTAGAACTCATAACTGATTGGTACAGATTATTTTCATTCGGAAATTTTATTCACAAAGGAATTGCAACATAAAACATTCGAGATAGACGAATATAGCTATATCTTTAATATGCACATGAAATTTTACAGGACGTAAATATAATATTGCAATTTTGAGAAAGTATGTAGGAAATACCTTAGATTTCCATAGTTTTGAGTGATAGGATTGATTCATTGCACTAGAGGTACTGTACGTTTATTAACACATACTTGGCACAGTCTTTTATGACTACTAGCAGTCCATTCAAACTGTGCCTAAATTTCACTAAGTACACATCATGTCATCAAAAACTGTGTGAAGTATAACTGAGACAAACATGTGTTCAAACCACCCTCTCCAAGTTTCTCCTTTTCTGGGGGGAGGGGATGTTTCAGTCCTATTGGCTGTTTATGATATTTATGCCTTTGAACATAAGGCACTCATAATAAACTTGTGTTAAAATTAATATAAAGATTTATTTATGTGAATCAACCATTTCTCCTGTATTACGTAAGTTTATATTTCAAGACCTCCCAACAAAATAATAATACAGAGCTGGTTACGAGTTTGAAATGACACACTATAAATTTATTCGTGTTTCTTTAACCCTTTCACTGCAATCGCCCCCCCCTCAAGAACACAAATTCTGATAACCAGTTTTTACGTGTGTGTTGTGTGTGGATGGGCAGGTATCACATGAGTAACTTTGATAAAATGTAATTTAAAAGGAAGAGCCTAGTATTTTTTGGCCATTTTGTTTGAATCTGATTCTGAAATGTAAATATCCAGAAAGCATATAATACAAGTATATTTTGGATTTGCATGCAAGACACTTTGTCAAGAAAATTTAGCAGTGAAAGAGGCAAAAGAAATATTTTAAATCAAGATCTGAAAATGGAAGGTGAAGGTGGATGTTTTGCTTTGTGACGGCACTTTTTAAAAATGAAAAGTGATTTGCTTGTACCCCATATCCTCCCCCTTTGCCATACTCCTTGTTTTTATTACCTTCCAGACTGCGATGGAATGTGATCTGAGGTTTTCATGCTGTTGATGTTCTGGGTTAGACTCATCAGTAGATGACAGTGATTCAGAGAAACATACTGTCTTCATCTTCAGGGCTGAAGTGCCAATACTGGAAAGTGTTTGGATTTATATAGGATTAGAGGAAGGGGAGGCTGAGGTGGTGGGCAATTAAGAAATTCCTCATCCCTGATGTGGAATAAATTACAGGACACATTTTAGCTATTGATATACATCAGGCCTGCACAGCATACAGCCCCCAGAAAGGTTTTCCCTGGCCCAGGGGTGATAAGCTCAACCACACCCAGGCCACTGAAAAATCATCTTTAAAAATTAATGAAGTATAATAAAACATGACTTTATTTTCAAATAAGTACAGATGAGATCTCACATTTTTCTTCATGCCTCTTCATTATTTTTAAAATTTTCTTCTAATATAAAACATTAATGTATTTAATAACATATAATTAATGCATAACATTCACATACTTTTAATTAATGTAATTATCATATAGAACATATGATACTGTGGCCCGAAGCACCTCCATAGTTTGCATTTTGGTCCACATGTACTTTCAAGTTGTACAGGCCTGATGTAAATCTTGCTTTTCAGAAACAAATCTACTGCATAAATGGAGAACATGATTGTATGCTGCTGTGAAAGACAGATGCCTTGCCACTGATGAACTTGTCTGTTTCATTTTAAAAATAATTGCATACGCTGTCCCAAAGAAGTCCAAGATCGCAGAAACTGGAGCAAACAAGATCTGGAATATGGACAGTCCAGCCAAGACAAGTAACAATGTCTGCTGTAAGTAGCTGTATGGCATCTGTAGTATCCATCTTGCGATGAGTTATTTATTTTCATATTCATTTTATAGAAGTTGCACTACTCAATGTGCATAATCAGCAAGGTTTTCTATATTTAGCTTGTATCCATACACGGTACATAGTAAGTAGTTTTCCTCGATTCACTTGCAGACGACGATCCTCAATATTATGCACCTCTTCAAAGCCAACTCCTTCAAACAGGCTCTTCACTTCAGCTGAAACATTCAGATGATTCAAAGAAAAAATGTCTGCCCATGCTGGGAATTGAATGCCAGTCATCCAACCCACAGCCAGTAAGTAAGTAAACTGCTTCAGATATATTTTACAGCTATGATAATTCAATGAACTCTGAAACATTTACTACAGAATTATATGTCATTCAAGGCACTGAAATTATCAATTTATAGTTGTTGAAAATTTATATTACTACTACTTACTTTGGGTGAAAAAATAGACTCTAGTTCCATCACCTCTCACATAGAAGTTGTCAGACAGACAACGTCCCTTCTTGAAACGTAACTGTGCCATATCGTGACGACCATAATCACGGAAAACTAGTAAACCACCAGGGCGTAGATATTTGTAAATTTCTGCCACTACATGAGACATCCTGTATGAACCAATGAGAAACAAACTGCAATTGTCACATCCTAATAAAACTGTTCTTGTACAGTGTCCATGACATAACTGTGAGCTTCAGCTATGTCAAAGAAAAAGGGGAGGAGAAGATAGTCTCTGAGCATGTGTAATGTTTCTGAAAACATTTTTTCCTCTTAATTTGTATGCAATTAGTGGCATTTTCATATACTGACTTTTTCACTTTGTACTTTGTGAACCAAAGAAAGTTAAAAAAACTAACAGTGCAGAGACATGTCTGAACCCACATGTGCTGCTTCTACAGCCTAATGTAATAATTTCACATGTGACAGTATACAAAGGAAAGACTGGCTTATCTCTGTGTGTGCCATTGCTTCGCTGTCTTCCCCTCCCTCCCACGCATTTGTAAGGGTCATTCAGGGTCGGAATAATGTTGTGGTCACTGTCAATAGTACAGTGAACTCTAAGCCCTGTCTTATGAACCTATACAACTATCGTCTGATAGCAAACAGAAAGAAAGTGATCGGTGAAGTAAATGGCAATGGTGCAGGACAGTGAAAATCCAGAATATAAATTCAGAACTGCTTTTGTATACTTGGGGGGGAGGGTGGAACATGCATGTACATATTAGTTTATAGTGTCCAATGCAAGAAAAAAAGGTGAATTATCATGAGACAGTGATGTAGACTGTTTCATCATCATAACAAAGTTACTAGATTCTATTTTCACTGCACTTCCTATATTCATAAGCCAGTGTGAAATTCAAACTTGCTGGTTTAATACTTCTGATACCAGACGGCAGAGGAATGTATGGATGCTGAGAAATTATGGGATGTAATAAGTATTATTACTCTGAAATATGAAAGTAAAAAATATATGAAATCATGTTCTTGGTACATTACTTTAATCATCAATTAGTAGTGCCTTGTTGTTTAACTTTGGAATTATTATTTTTCCGGATTTGTTTAACTCCAATACGCATTATTAATATAACAATGTATGTAATTGTACTGCCATCCATTAACATTTATTTGTCTGATTACAGAATATACCGATCAATGTGCCTTCTAAAGAAGCATTGTTTTTAATACTTTTTAGTAGAACAAGCTCCATGTTAGTCATTACCTCTTGGTTCTCTTTCATTAACAAACAGCATAGCCACGGGATCTAAAATCTTACAAAATATGTGAACATTAATTAAACTTACATCACTGCTCCTGGGAAGAATTCTCTCTGCTAATGCGCCCTATACTCTGTTCTACAGTTTGTCACTCTGCATTTGCACTAAATGTTACAGTGTATAGTGGGGAAGCAATGTTATTAATAAAGTAGTATCATTTTGCAATTGTGTGAAAATAATTTGGTGTTACACAAGTAGGATCTGAGGTTCTCACGGCAGCGAGTCAAAAGATAGCTGTCTTCTGGGTTGTAGTGCCATGTAGTCTGGTAGAAATTGACCAAAGTTTCAGAGGCAGCAATGACCTCTGAAACGTTGGTAAAAATCTACCAAACTAAACAACACTACAACCCAGAAGACATATATCTTCGGTGTTAAGTGGGATTTCAGGATCTAACAGGGTAAATATAAAGATGACTATCTTCTGGGATGCTGCGCCATGTGGTCTTGCAGAAATTTATGTTTCAACTGTGTCAATTTTGATCATGGAGTCAGTAAGCACCCCTGAAACAGAGGCCAATTTCACAACACAACACAACACATCTAGCTACGGGCTGGACGACCGGGGTTCGATCCCCGATGGGGACATGGCGTGTAGTGGGACAGCTTTACTATTACACATCCCAGAAGAGAGCCATCTTCAATGGGCGTTTTGTTTTTCTACTGATGCTGATTCACTACTGATGACATGTACTATATTTATGAGAAACTGAACAGAAATAATACAAACTTTGTTACTTTATCAATGATTACTTGTAACACATGTGCCTTTACAGGTTTTTCTTTCTTATAAGGTAATGTATGATGACACTGCTTATGATAATAATCTCATGAAAGTTTATATGAATTATTAAACTTAACAAGAATGGAACTAATAAGTGCCACACAGGAGATCCAATACAACACACACAACCTTTCTTCATGCATTAGACACAGAATAATTACCCACACCAAGAAAAGACCAAAATATGTCACCCAAATTTTAAGTCCTGCAGTTAATTTTATTTTCAAGGAAATAATTTAATAACAGACGAATTAAAATAACAAAATTAAAGAGAATACTGGCAACAAGAAACTAAATACAAGTATGTTGAGCAACAGTGATACTATAACTTGCTTTGCAAGGAACATTTAAAATAATTTATTACAAATACAACTGCCATATAACAGACAATGAAGCAACATATTTACGTACTTGGACTGTTTCTTTCTGTGGGAATCTGACCCACATTTAATAGGTCCTTTGATTTTCAAATTGGTTACATTCACTTACTTGTCTGGGTGAATTGCTGAAAGGACAAATATCATCACAACAATATGCAAACTATTTGGTTGGAATGGAGGCTGCCAGTCTTGTGTTACGTCACATACAAATGCTTGACATCTATAACAAATGAAGAACCAGGTATCTGATTAATGCTCTCATTTAGTTTATGTGCATCCCTTTAATGCTTCTGAAAAGAAAACAAAATTTCTCTATCACTGCCAACTGACTTGCACAGGTAGTGGTGCAGTTTACTGTTTTGGTTATACCCTTACCATACAGCATCTATTGCTGAGAACCTTTCAACAGATGGATAACCCTTACAGTATGTCCATTTGGCAGCTGAGTCCAGAATGTGCAGAGCTGTAACAACACATGATGTGTTGAAGCTAGTTTTCCAGTTCTCACACACAATTATTTCCCTTCCCTTATTTCAATGTTGAGGATTCAGGATAATTAAGCAAACAAAACAAAATTGTAAAATGTACCTCTTTGGGTCATACTCAGAATTGTCCCGAAGTAACTGTATGGCTGCATATGAGAAATCACAGCAGAACACAAACACGTCTGTGTCTGCGTTATGCTGAAGGATTGGAAACGCGGTATTGCCAACACCACAGCCTATTTCAAGGATCATTGTAGATCCTTTTCTTTTGCTGTCCGTCGTTAACACATTTCCTAGATGTTCTGACAACTGTTCGACTCCGTCTTGCGTATTTTTAGAAGTATACGGTTTTGTGCTTTCGTCATCAGTTGCCCCGAGCTGATCTGTCACTTGCTCCTTTTTAATTTTAACACACTTGTTGTCAGTGACTAATTCTGGAAACTCTGTGAAAAGCCATTGTCTGTCTTTAAAAAACCTGTTTTGATGGATACCATAAAAAGCATCCCAGTATTCACTTGCCCTCACTTCATACTTTTCTTGGTCACTTTCACTGGCAAAAACAGAGGAATTTTCTGTCACCTTGCACTTAGCCAGTTCTTCCTGGGCTGCATCCCACTGAACATTGTCCCTAAATTCAAAAAACAAAGTCAGAACACATTCATTGTTTCTGGGGGCAGCAAACTGTTTTCTGCAGAGGTCAATCAACAGTGTATCATAAGCTATAACCATTGCAGTTAAAGTAATTAAACAAGAAGATGCACCCTGGAACACACTTATAGGGGAGCCAGGAGAAACTACAAAATCTGGCCCTTTCTCTAAAGCATTTGATTAAAAAATAAGGAAATTAAAATATTAACCATACTAATAAAATAACATGACCTCTTAATCTAGAGGAAACATGTTCATTTCCAGTGACAGTATTCTTCATTTCTGTGGTTTTAATACTGCCTGCTGATGTCATATCATGATACCTTCTTAGTTGTGTATCCCATGGCTCACGTAAGACAAGTGTTTTTCCCCTCCACCCTCAAACTCTCCTTTAACTTGACCCAGGGTAGCTCACTCAATATAATGACTGGCTAGGTCTGCATAACAGGGGTTCAATCACCAACAAGGGCAGAGGATTTTTCCTCTGGCCTCTGCGTCCAGACCGGCTCTGCGGCCCACCCAGCCTTCTAACCAATGGGTACTGGGGTCCTTTCCTGGGGGTAAATCACAGCTAACCACTCACCCCCATCTAGTGCCAAGGTTAAGAATGAGTTGGAGCTACATTTTCTCTCCCTCCAAGCGCCTACATGGCGTATGGTGGGACAGCTTTACGCTCCTTCAACCCTAGTGAGTCAACAGGTGTTTGGTCACATTCTGTCAGGGACAGGTCAGTTTGGTTTTGGGAGTTTCTTTCTCCCTTCTTCTGGTGTCAAGCAGGGAGGCGGAGCAGGTATTATGTTACTTTAAATTCAGGTATGTTCAGTGGCTAATCCTGGTCTAGAAGTCAGGTTATGTGTGTGGAAACACACTATTATTAAATCCCTCTAACAATCATGCCACAGTGCTAATTTATTTTAATGACAGACCAGAGCATTCACCACTGGTTTCGTTTGTCCACAATAATATACCACATTTTGTGTAGTGTACTTGTAGCAGGGTGAACTTAGTTGCTTTCCACTGGGTCTAGATACCTAGTGAATATATGAATTTAATTAGATAATAAAAGAAACTGTCAAATAAAATGATGAAATGGAAAATTTCAAGAGGGAAGCCAGATCCTTTCTCTAACAATACACATTCCACTCTGGATGAATATGCATCTTATTATATAGTGCAGTGGTTTTTTACATTTTTTAGTCATGACCCAAGTTACGGTTTTGGCAATCCAATCTTGACCTTCAATTACATTTACTGAATTAAAGTAGATAGTTCATCTGTTATAAAACTGGAAAGACCAATTAAATGTAAAATAATAATGAGCATCTTTAATAGTAGGCACTTACAGCTGTTACTACGGAGCTTTGAACTTTGGTACAAATAAAAGCATTTAACAAAGGTTAGTACCTGCTGAGCAGTGAAATAACAGATAAAATAAAGGAAATATAAGACTTTTGTAAAATAAAACTAGACAACAAAATTAGAATGAACCTAAAACCCATAAAAACATCACACTCACATTATGCTTGAAAATCTACAAAAACAATATAAAAATACAGATGAAGAAAAATGTACTTGGAATCTACTAACAAAGCATCATGAGATGATGATCTTCTGAGCTGGCATGCTGTGTAGTCTGATATAAGTTTACTGACATTTCAGAGGTCCTTGCTGCCTCCACCATCAGGCTGATGAGTAAGTCATCACCCTGATGTAGTTAAATTACTTAAACAATTCCCTACATGTGGCTATGCTTTTAGTACCTGCCATTAAATAATGATTTTCTTTTGATTGAATTTTTTTTTTTGCTGTCTGTTGAGTTTCCCCCCCCCCCCCAAATAATTCCATGACATGATCAAATGGAAATATGCAAACTAGACTAATTTTAAAGCTTCTGTTTTCATGAGTGATGTGACAGTCCTTAGAGCAAAGCATGCTGAACTTAGTTCAGGGATAATGTGTTGAATGTCTTTTCCAATTTAAGTTATTGTCAATTTGTAGGCCAAGAAATCTAGTTGTTTCTACTTCTTTGTTTTATCCTCATACTCCTATACCTAGATTCACCCAATTCTTGATGGTTGTAAAAAATTTAACATTTGTTTCGTCAAAATTTAATGTGAGTATACTGGCTGCAGTAATATCCATCGACATTATACGCTTTAAAGGGCACATGCCACACTATAAGCTAAACAGTAATCTGATACTTTTTAACTTGCTTTGAAAGGATGAGGATTCTTTTAATGTGCATTTTCACTATCTCTTCATTTAAACTTTAAGTGAATCTAACATACCAGGCATTGAACTCAAATACACTTTTTGAATTTGTCAGATATCGTGAACCATGTTTGGGTTTCTTTCTAAATCGTGTGTGACACTTCGCAGCAAATACTGTTGTAGTTGAAAGTGCGACGTTACACGTGCACCTTATAATTTTATAAAAGTACATATTGCATCCCTAAAATATCCTACCAGGCACTGTGTTGGAACACATCGTCACCATCTTTGAGGAACCGGTTCCCAAATTGTGGCCTCGATTCATTCCCACCAGATTGCCCACCGGAAGCCGCCATTACTGTAAAGCACAGATTATACACGTTTATCATATGCTAATTACCCTTATTGAAAACTAGTGTTAAGGACAAAATATTAAACTTCTTTCTTACAACTTGTGTTCTTATATCTTTTAATTTTCTTGCGATAATTCAAATTTCCAAATGTCTTAGAAATCCGGAGTATACACTTTGCTAGATACCCTAATTTCACTTTCCACGATACAAAATTTACTGCCATCTATCTAGGGCTTGCGGAGCTACTATCACTCACGACCTGCTACTTTTAATCGTCAGATGGTGCAAGGGGAACGATGATGTGAATATTTATTACTTCCACGCCCACAACATTTTCCCTTATAAAAATAAACAAATTCAGGATTCCCGAGTCAAAGTGCTTTCCAGGCTGAAATATTATGTAGAATATGGGACAGGTAATTATTTAACATGTATGATTTAACTACATATTAGCCAGAAGCTAGTAGGTCTTATTTTCGAGACCTGTCAAATTCTGTCAATATGTTTGTCAATAAGTATAGCCAGTGCAGACAGAGCGGCCGGTTGTCAATTGCGTAGAGGGTTTTTAATTAGCTTTTATTTGCGTGTTGACTGTTTCTACTCAAAATTCTAATGCACTTATTAGCCCCAGAAGACTGACTGTGGTGCCTTTTAGTTTAATTGTATTCTGTGTGTTCATTTTATGTAGTAAAGTTTTTTGAAATGGTAAGTGTCAGCTCATTTGTTCACCAAAATGGTGACATTTTACAAATTTATATGGAAAAAAACTTTGAAAAGTGCATAGAGCATTTAAGTATGGGGTTAATCGTTTTAATCATAGTTCCTACTTATTGAATATGAAAGATAATGATTTTTCCTTGCAGATTGTTGCTTCCTTTTCTTGAGAATTCTTGGGCAGCATGTTCCAACTTACTGGTTACCTCTAGTTCCTCAGTTTCTTCCAGATTGGAATCAATTACACTCAGCGTCAAATGTAAGTTTATTTTCTTACTAATATGATTATAGCAAAAGTTTAGAATCTTAATGGAGTATGGTTATATCCTGTGTTCATTACTGAGTTGTCACCACATATCAGTATATTAAAGTTTGCACAACTTAATACAAGAACTATTAGTATTTACAATGCCATTAAATGTCAATTAGCAGATAATTTTTGGAGTATCAAGCTAGACATTTATTTTTTGTTTATTTATTACATCTTGTTAGAGACCTATACCTGTGGACATAAACTGTTAAGTTCTTCTACTAGTGATAGAGAGTGATTTGATGGCCAGATTTTTGGTCTGGATGCAGTAGTAAGTGATCTCTGACAATGTTGTACATGTTGCTTTTCTTGTCAGAAAAAAATTAGAGGAAATGTATATAATTTCATAATTTGGTATTAATTTAATTCCCTCCCAACTAATTCCCTTCTGAATCTATGCAATTGTGTAATGAGAGAAAACAGTTTTGGAACCCATTTCAGTGCTGCCATTGTATTTGTATAATATTTTTAACAGAAGCATTCTTTAGTTTGGGATCTAGGAAGAAATCAGTAGAAGGTAAGTCAGGAGTGATTTTGTATAAAACCTCCTTTACTCATAATGCAGTTTGTTGTAGTGTATTATCACTTAAGAATCTGACAATTTGGTGGAAAGCCTTTCTCTGCATACCCTATCTCTTAGACATGAAAGAATTTTAAAATTTGTATATAGCATCTTGTTTACAGTCTGGACTTTAGAAGAAAAATGTTACCATAATCCATAATCTAAATTATAGAACACCGTACCCTTTCTTTTCACATACTGAATTATTTCACCATTAATTTGACATTTATTCTTCCACACTTCAAATGAATGAATTTACTCTTTTCACATTTTTGTTGGTTTTAGAACATTTTAGTACTCTTTATATACCTTAAGCCATGAAGAAAGTTATGTTTTTGACATAATCTGTTTACCAAATGTCAGTTATCATAATTTTCTAAAGGTTTATAAGTTCCACACAGAATTTCAGTTTAATTCTTTGTTGTAAATGTTTGCTACCTACTTGTTGAATTCAACTTCATTGACCACTAAATATGACAAACTGCAAGCACAAATTACACCATTTTAAAATGTATTTAACCGCAAGTCTGAAAAGTGCATTTATTAAAAATATTCATGTCGCACCTGTGTGCCATGGCACATCAGTTGCAGAACAACCTTACTAATAGATCAAGCTAAAATTATTAGCATGTAGCAGCAGTAGCAAGTCCCATTCCGATATTATCCTCATGACATTTTTCTTGGAACTTTGTAATATCATGTTCTAAAGGAAAGCATGAAAGCAGTGGCAGTAAATCACCTTGTTTCACACCACTCTGAACAGGAAATTCATTAGACAAATTTACCTATGTGAAATACGATTTAAACACATTTGAATTAACCTAGGTAGTTTCTTACAGAATTAAGTGAGAAATACCATATGCTACTTCTCTTTTAACTGAACCATGGGCTTTATTTAAGGCATAGGCTCAAATAGCTATAGAAGCTGATGCACCTCTAAACCCTTACACGCACTTTAAGGTATAAATACCAGATGCACTGTGTCATTGTATTTCCAGTTTTTTTTCAGGATCTGTTATATGCAGAATTTCTGATCAGTGTTTGATCTTTTATTTTGAAATCAGCACTGATGATGTCCAGTAATTTCTTTTGAGCATAGGGTTAACCTTGAAAAGAGAATGTTGGATAAAATTTTGTAGAATTTATAAGAATGTTATATATCAATAATTTTTACAGTTTTATTGCCAGTTTTGGGCCAAATTACATGAATAAATATTACATGAACTCTGTTCCCTTAGGCTTAGCTGATGATTATTTCTTTGAATGGTTAGTGTTGCAGTGCACGATACCCTCCTACGTGATACCTTGTAGAGGCAGTTGCTGATTCACATGTGTTTTCCCATCATGCATCATAACAGCAGAAATGTGCATGAATATTTGTCTCTGTGATATAGAGTGCTAGTTTTCAGTCCTCCATGCAAATTCTACTTGAGTACCTTACATCAGTTATGACTGCTCTATTTCCATCATCTTTTATAATTATTGATGACCTCGTGGCAGCAAGTACAAAGTTGACTGTCTTCTGGGGAGTTGTGCTGTGTATCTGGAATAGAAGTTTAGCGATGTTCTGCCACCGTTATCAGGGCAATGAGTCACTGGAGTTAATGGATGCAGTAAGGACCTCTGAAATGTTGGTAAACTTGTACCAGACAACAAAGTGGAACATACCAGAAATCACAAATCTTCAATTTGGCACAGTAGTTATTGATTCATTAAATCAAACTATTCCCTGTACATGTTCCAGAAAATCCAAGTCTAAGTGTTTCGGTGATTGCATTCATAATTCCAAGACCTTTCTTGTTTACTGATCACTTGAAAATGGTGAATAATATAAACTGATATTGATTCAATGCAAAATTAGAGTATGAAAAATTATGATTCTTAATGTTGGTGTAACTATGAAAATGATGATGATGGTGTTTGGATTCTTGCATCATGGAGCATTTTAGCAGTGTTCCAGCATTATGGCCCTAAAGATTGGGGCAGTAGGTTCCTCCAAAACATTGACACACTACCAAAAACCTATATGGTGCAACAATCCAAAAAAACTACCATCTTTCATCTTTTTTCACATCATCATGAAGACTTCAGATCTTATGATTACACTCTGTAAACACAAGAATGTCAATGTCCACACATTGACTACATATTCTCTCAAGGCTGAAAAGTGATTGGTTTGATCTGATATATTACTACTTAATTTTTCACTACTGATAATCTGTGGTTTTATATAGCACCTTTGTGTGGTCCAAATGTAATTATGCATCTACTGCCTGGAACTCCATTACATAAACAGATACATCCAAACTCAAAAAAGTTTAAAGGGAATCTGTTGTTTTATGCTAAATGAGATTTTTGGTGGCCATTTATATTGCAATTATGATGAAGGAAAATCAGCTAGATTGGATCTTTCAACAATTTATTCCAGGTGGCAGTATCTAGATGCAGTATTCCTTAAACATGAAATTAGTTAGATTTGAGGTTTCTACGTCAGTGAGTCTGAAGATGCCTGACTTTAGTGTTGTTGCTCCATTATCAGGGCAGTGAGATGGAGACAGCAAGGACGTTAGAAACATTGGTAAAATTCTACCAGACTACATGGCGTAACAACCCAGAAGACAGATATCTCGATGAAATTAGTTGTTCTTCCATATTTGATTTTGTTAGTGTATGTGTACCTACTAGGATAATTACAAACTAGTACTCATTTATGGTAAATCAGAATTTCAAGATCAGTCACTCAGCTAGATATTTTTCTGTTGCCAGTACTATTTGCAAGGACACTGAAATTTTGAACAAAGATATACACTTCAGACTTTTATAACCTTACTTTTATGTAATTTAAATTTTTCTTAACTTTTCTTTATCTAGTCACTGTCAGTTTTATAACACAAATTTTAACACTGTGTTTTTGTGTTGTCTGTTAGTTTTATACATAATTTGTAGACTTAATTAAACTGTATTCTTTGCTTTTTTGTATATCTTGTAGTTTATTGCTTGACAGTGACTGGCCTTGTTTGATTGTTGTCAAGCACTAACTAACCAACTAACTAGATGGCTTAGGGAACCCAAAGGTTCATCACCAAATTAACCAAAGCCCTCCACCGGACCCTGTCCTGGGCCAACAAAACCCAGTAACCTTCAACTCCTGTCTCCTACAGATCCCACCTGAGATTATCCTCCCATCTCCCCAGCGGGCTCTTCCCCTTAGGCTTCTCAACGAATACTGATTATTTAAACTGGGTTCTAGAAAGAGAATATTGATAATTTTGCAGCTACAGTTTGTCAGTTTTTTATGTTGTTCTGATAAGATTAATTATTATTTAGATTCATAAAAGGTGTCTTTTGTGTTCACTGTTGATTTTAATTCATAAATAGGAAATCTGTTGCTTTATTCTTGTAATATGTAGTGTATTAATTTCTGAAATGTGGGATATTCAGTAAGAAGAGTGGAACAGCAAATTACTGTATGTTAATGTGTAACCTTGGTTTTCTGGGATAAGCTGCGTTGAATGTTTAAGTTTTCCCAACGTTTTGACAAGCACTGCAGGGTAACTGTATTTTTGGGGCATTAGGAAACCTTATATGGGTCTGGCAGTAGGTCACAGGTGGGATTTGAAGGACGTGATTGACAGAAGATATGAGGAAGTTGCTATCAAAACAGAAAAAAGCGTGTGGTTGAGCATCAGAGGTGAGGGAAGGATTTTTAGAGATGATGTGGTAAGGAGAAGTTTGATGAAAGAAGATTCAGTGATTGCATTGCTAGCAAAAGAGGTGTGAAAAATCTTCTGGTGGAAGGAGATGGTGGACTATTGCATTCACATAGTTCAGAGAAGAGGTTAGTTTTTAGGTGGTGTTCTGGAGGTATAATGCCTTAAGGGCTCACCATGATCTTTCCATCCATCTGTGTGAATCAACTCACATTAATTGAACCTGTTGTTGCGCAACAGTAGGTCTTATTGTTGGAACCCATTCTAGTGCAGAAATGGAGTACAACTTCCAATTCCTGTACTAGAATGGGACCTAGGATCACAGAGCAAAAACGTCTAAGGACATTGTTGGAAGACTTTGTGCAACAGTGGTTTGGGATCATTAGTACAAGAATGGCCTGAGATTCAACAGTGATCTTGAATAACATGAGTTCAAGAATGATAGAAGCGGCAACAATGCCCAATGACATTAATGCAACAAGGGTGTAGGTGGTGCTGCATGAAGAATGCCTTCAGAATGTTCGAGTGCTGACAGTACACTTTTTTCTTTTTTATTATTATTGATATTCTTGTTTCTGTTGCTATTTTTATTTCTATTCCAATATTTGTTGTTATTCACTGTTTTTATTGTAATTATTTTTATTTTTGTAACTGCTTGCTGCTCTAACTTTGCCCCCTTTGGACTTACTTTTGATGAGTTGGACATCCCTGGGCCTGTCCCATCTCTGATTAGTTTATTAAGGCCTCAGATAACGGATTCCCCCCTGAGGGGCTTCACCACCTGCAGAGCTAAGGGCCATTACTGGGGACACCCTCAGGTAATGCCTCCATGCCTAGTCCCTACTGAGATTTTTTTATGTAATCCTTGGGGCTTTATCCGGGCCTTTCCTTAGGATGCTTGCTTTATTGGGGTCTGGCCCTCAATGTTGCTCTTCCAGGGCCTTTGGCCCACAGGCCACCCATCCCCTGCCTTGGGCCATGAAACCTGGACACGCTTGTGTTTCCACTATCATGGTTGTAAGAACACTTGAAATGTCTGTGTACTTCAAAGAGTACACTTTTCCAATCTTGTTTCCTTCTCTTGATGATATGAAGATACAGGTGGCCCAAAATGTACCTATTAGATTTAATCACCTGAATTTTGCACTGAATTTTGAAGATCTTTCACAATCTCCTCCATAGTCCTTGGGTTGCCCTGGTACCCAGCAGAAACAAATGAAAAAGAGATGGCTTGAGTACTAAAGTGTCATCAAAGTTTATTAAAGTTACAATCACTTATTGCAGAGAAAATTATGTTTACACTTGGTAGGTACATTTTGGTCCTCCTGTAAATAGGAAAGGAAGAATTGAAACAGAAGTGGGGCATAGGTGGAAGGTGATGGCATGAAGGAGTGAAAGAAAGGGGAGGGGGATCATTTGAGAAGGAAAATGGTGAAGTAGAAGAGATGAAGAGAATTTTAGTGACTATCTGGTTAGGAAAAGGGCTAGTGAAGTGAATGTTTGGTTAGTACATGGTTAGGAAGTAGGTACTGAAACAGTTTTGGTGACTGGGCAGTTATGAAAATTGGTAATATGGAGCTCTTTTGCACGCGCTGTGTCCAGCTGCATCAGTGAAGTTCCGTGGTTGTGTAATGAAGGAGGTATTTGTGCGTACACTTTGGGAGAAGAGAGGTGAAGTTAGGTTTTTCTTTGTCTGTCTTGATGGTTGATATTGTAGGGTTATTTAGTTCTTCAGTTGAGGATGTTGGAATAGTAGGTCCTGACATTGACTGCGACTTATGTCATAGTCGATACCGTGCTTGGTTATGGCAGAGTGTCCAGCTATTGTTGACTACTGATTCCTCAGTTTGTAACATCCTCGGTGATTATTCGCATTCTTCTCACTCATTCTGATCTTTCCGTAGAGAAAGTCTGTATTTCTTTATTCTCCCTTGTTGTGTTTCACCTATGTTTACTGTACTGTTATAGTCTTTTCTTCAGTTTTTCTCTGTTCCACTGGGGCCATAGGAGTTCTGCATACTAAACGTTTGAACACTGCGTTAGGGTTATCAGTTAACAACAGTAAGGTCATCAGTTTATCTCTGCCATCACAATAGTAATCATCAACTGATAGTCTTACTATAGTCATTTTATCAACATTATAAGCTACTTATTAATTTATTTCATATCTTGTTCTTGTTTTTTAAACCCTTTTAGCACAGTGGGAACCATATGTACCACCTGCTTTAAGAGTCATTAACTGTGTATTTTGTGTTGATGGGTCTTAGAACATTCTCAGACTGAACAGCAATTAATTTCTTAACAGCATTAACACATTGATCTTATTAATGGTGAGTAGTTATATTTTTTTTTTATTGAGGTACAGACTAAGCTTTTAAATATTGTGTTGAAGGATTTGAAATTTTCATGGTGGTGAGTCTGAAGATGGTTGTCTTCTGAGTTGTTGCGCTATGTACTCTGATAGAAGTTTACTTACACCAATAACAAGTCCTTTAACTTAATTTCAATTACATTCCTTCGCTGATTCTGTTGGGATTTCAACGAATGCTGAATGGCAGTACATTGCGCAGGAGGTGATTATAATCACCGTGTGATATTTCAGTGATGATGCAGCAGCAGGCAGCTCCTATGCAGCATGGTGGTGCCTTGTATAACTACTACCAACCTATCACCGTCCTCACCGGTCCTAATCGGAACGTCCGTCAGCCCGCTCAGCGCACCCAACCTCATACCAGTGTGAGTAGAGTGACACAATTACCAATTTTTATAATTTTGTAATGCCTGTTCTTTGAAACCATAGTAATTGTAGTGATATGTTAATATGCCACTAATGTTCCAAACTACCATGAGAGTAAGGAATGTTGGACACATAATCTGACCTAGAGTTGCTGTCTGTCTCATCTTTCATTCTTGAATGAACGAATAAGAGGTGGGTGATTAATGACCGTAGTACCACAGACGTCCAAGATCTGGTGTGTCCCCTTGTGTGTTTAGCCCTCTAGTAGGCTTACACTAAATTATGTGTAAAATTTAGCTTTGCAAGATCTTGTGGCAGTCACTTGGTTTCATGAAGTGTGTTTGCTAGTGGTGAAATCTTAATTCAGCTAAGATGTCACAGTCACATAGAACATGTGACGCTGTTTCCTCTTTGTTGTGACATCTCTCAGAAGTTGGACTGTTTACTGGTCCCACATTTAAATGAGTGTTCCATCGTTTGTACTCTCACTTGTCTTAACTGGTTCCTATTTAATTTTAATAGTTCCCTAATTTTAGCAGATGATTTCTGAGGGAAACTCTGCATGTTTTTGTCCAGGTGTGCACTTTTGAAGTTCATGATGCCATCTGTTCTTCCATTCCCTGATGACGCACTTAGCTGCTCTTTCCAAGATGCTGCAAGCCAGTTCAGGTCCTGTGAATAGATAATCAGATCCTTTTTTGCCAGCTGATTGGTGATGCCTTGGCACACAATATCAGTTGAATCCTGTTAACGTTCATCCACTTCCTTCAGGGATTGGCAACAGCCCTAGACTAATTTAGAGTTAATATGGTAAATATCAAGTGCTTTTATTGCAGCTTGACTCTTTGATAGAATATAAAAATTCCCATTTTTATGGCCCTTATTTATGTTTTGATCACACATGCTTTGCTAGCATATACTTTTGCTTGGTACAGTGGCGTTATTGCCCAAGGCTAAAACAAGGCCTCTTCCTCGTAATGTGTACATGCATCAATGCAATGGTGCCTTGATTTGTATTGGGCTCCAATTTTTGTTGGGCCAAAACTTGCTTTCCCATTTGCTTCTGTAAGGAAATGTGACTGTGAATGTTTTGTTGAATAATAAATTGTTCTCAGGCTACCAGCCGTGTCAGGTGGTTGAAAGGCGAAAACACTAACGTTTCAAGAACCAACTTTGTCTTTGTACTCAGGTACTTCAGTAGGGTGGTTCCTTCCTCGTGTCTCAAGACGAGACGCGCTTGCAAAGCCGTGCCATATAGCTCTGGTTTTCCACTGTTCATTACAATTTGGTCTATAGATTTCTGCCCACACCTCAGCATCTGTTGCATGTGAAGAAGAAGGTGTCCCAGGGGGACTTCAGTTGAATCTCATAACTATAGTTATTCCTAGACAGGCCAGCATTTTTATTTTGCCTCTGAAAGCAAATATAGGTCTTCCACCAGATTATGCAGATGTGGGAAATTTTAACCTTTTTTTTAACATCATCTTACTAAAAGGAGACGGGTAAGAAAACATTATTTGGGAAGGTCTATTTATTTGTCTCCATTGAATGTTGTCATTAGCTGGTTTAAGAAATTCTCTGCCGTTCATTACACTCTGTCCAGATCCAGCCAGTGCACACATCCTGCTTGTTCCAAGATTAATTTTAATAGATCCTGCCATCCGCACAATCTTCTTCCATTTGTTTCCTCATATCAGTTTAACGGATTTTAATTATCTTTTCAGTTCTCGTTGCTGTTATGTATGCTACGTGTCCCACCCATCTTATCATCCTTGATTTTATCATCATAACGTAACATAACAGGACGCACAACGCTGTTTCCCTGTTTCATCACTAGATAACGTATCCGTCTGGGAAGACAGTTTTATGACATTTTTATTTTGTCGTTCTGTCTCGTCGAAGTAATGCCGGATCCTTTTCGCAGACCAACTTCATAGTCTTTAGTTTTTTTAAAAAATCTGCATATTTTAGTCACGTTTTTTTCTCCATTCAGTTTCTCTGCGTCCAAATATGCTCCTCAGTGTTTGTCAATGTAGCTGTCAACCCATCGGTTTCCAAAAACGAGAATGGTGGCCTGTGATGAAGTATGCGCATGAGAATGCGCGTGTTTAATCGCTAAGAACACGCATCGTGCCATCTTAAAGTTGCTCTCTCGCTCATGAAGCAGTGGCGCTACCCCCATAAAACGGCCTCCTCTGTACCTTCCTAAAGGCGGGGCTTCTCCATTCGTAATTCCGTCAGATTCTTATTCAAAAGTGCATGTTACACGGAGTGTCGGTATTCCAGCGGTAAGTCATGTTTGGAAGCAAATCTGCGGTCACGCGACACCTTGTGCTGTTCGGAACGTAAAAAAGGTTGACTTGGCCGCTGCATGTCGAGTGGAGTAGTCAACCTTCAGAACGTCATTGATGTGTATCAGTCCATCTCATTTTGCAGTGTACGAATTCGTGACGTAACAACAGACAAACCATTACAAGTACGATGTAAGGCATTAGGCCCCGCAAGTATCAAAAGCTTTGTGCGTTTTAGGTTCCGAAATGCGACAGTCATGAGATTGGTACAGTGTTTGTTAGCTGCATGACATTCGTCCATTTCTGTCCAACTTTATTATTTAAACTTCACACTTCTGCACAGACAGGGTGGGGCACATGGGTACTGTCTGATGTGACCCCCGGCAAGTAGAGTCCACACTGCAACGCAGCAAGAACAAGGTCGGAAAGAGATTATTCTGTACCAGAACACACATAATATCCTCATGCGTCGTTTGCAACGCGCATTTGGAGGTATTGCATCCGTCTTGTTCGATAGTTCCCACTTAAACCACCAAATCTCAGCGCCTCAATGTCTACCTCACGAGTTTCTTCATCCGTCATTTTGTTATCACCGCTCGTAGGATATTCAAAATATGTTTGTGAGGTCGTGCAGAATGGCACAACCCCCATATCAAATTTAGTCCAAATCTGTCCATTGGTTCTCGAGTTAAATCGACTGGACGGACGGACAGACAGACGTGACCAGCCCATGTTGCGTTCTCACTATGTACTTCGTGCAACGAATTGCGTATTCATTCCTGGAAGCATTCCGTGGTCATGGCGACAATCTTTCTTTCTTCGTGCTAGAATTCCGGTTTTCCAGTTCTGAAGCGGGCGCCCGTCCGGCCATTGACTTCTGGCGACTGCGTTGGCGCGCGGTCGTTTCACGCTCGCTTCCTGCTCCGCGTGCTTGCGGACATGCACGTGCCTGCCACGTGGCTGACGAAAACTGACTTACTGCGCCTAGATTAGATAAGACGCTTTATCAACTGCATAAGCTCTAAACTGTTGGTTCATAGAAGGAGTACAGTGAACGCAAAATAACTCCGAGCCGCTTTGACCGTTACAAATACACGCGAAGGAAGGGTGGAGTGGGGTTGGGGGGAAGACCGGGGGCGTGTCCCTGCGTTGCTAGTGTTATATGGTTTATTTGTTACACAAAATACAGTGTGGTGTAGAAGTCAGTGCATCAAAATGCCACCGTGTCCAAATTAAAAGGAGATTTTTTTTCAGTTATACTGTACATGCTCAATCAGACGTTTTTCCGTCTTTCTCTCTTCTCTTTCTGTGACGTAGCTGAAACTTGGAGGTATTTTGCGTCCACTGTACGAGTGGTATTTGGAAGGGAGCGAGACTGTGGCGCATCCAAGTGTTGTGTGGAGGGACTGGGAAGAGATTTGAACCAGAAACACCCGAAGTGATAAATCACTCCACCGCACTATTCCCTTCAGTTGTTTCTCTCTGAGCACCCGCGTTGTTCTCACATGGCTCAATGCAGCTGCCTGTTTGCAGTTTGCTGTAAGACAACTTGTGCTCCTGTGAAGACATCCCAGAGGCTGCGTTGTGCAGGCCGAGTAGATGAATGCCCACGGTGTTGTACCGGGAAATTCGACGTTTCTTATCTTCGTTTCTCTAAAGCTTATCATAGGCTTGACCATTCGATTTGTGTCGTTATATATCACACTATTATTATCCCATCTATTCACAACTTAATAGAGTATTTACTTCTATGTACCCGAGACAAACCTTGCCCCTGAGGTACATAGTGCAGCAGCAATTCCTGAAATACATTTTATTTTCTAACAATTGTTGCATGCTTTAAACAGATTTCGAGTGAGGCATTATTATTATTGTCATCATCATCATCATCCCTGACTATGGACTGGATGACCGGGGTTCGATCCCTGACAAGGGCAGAGAATTTTTCCTTTAGCCTCTGCGTCCAGACCGGCTCTGGGGCCCACCCAGCCTCCTATCCAATGGGTACTGGGATCCTTTCCCGGGGGTAAAGCCGGCCGGGGCGTGATGCTGACCACTCAACCCCATCTAGTGCCGAGGTCAAGAATGAGTAGTAGCTATACGTCCTTCTCTCTCCCCCCAAGCGCCTGCATGGTGTATAGTGGGACAGCTTTACTTTATTATACTTTTTAATATATGACAAGGGAGCTGTGTTATGTTTTCTGTCTGGATAGTATGTCAAAGAGGAATGTGACTCGGTCACAAATTTTGTTGGCTAGAAGTCCACTCGCCTGTAATGCTGAAGTGTGTTACATGAAGTACCCACTTGAATTTTCATTTCTCACAGTTCTGTTACGTTCCTTTTGTGAGTGGCACTTGGTTAAATGGTGTCTTGCCCAACGCAAGCTTTCAGAGGCTGAAACCCTTACATTTTCTGCGAGCTTCCATGCGCGTATCAAGAGAGTAAAAAATGCCAAGCTATGTACGCGCTTGGGCGGAGAGGGGAGGACGTATAGCTCCTCTCTTCCTTGACCTCGGCTCTAGATGGGGGTGAGTGGTCAGCATCATGCCCCGGCCGAGCTTTACCCCCGGGAAAGGACCCCGGCACCCATTGGATAGGAGGCTGGGTGGGCCCCAGAGCTGCTCGCGACGCAGAAACTTCTAATTTTAAAAAATATTGCTATTTTGTCGCCTTACCCCCGTTTACAAATCCCAATTGCTCGTTACAA